TGGTGTATTATGTAGGAAACAAAACAAAATAAAATGTATTTTGGATTGGTAAAAATCATGATCAAGACATCCCTAAGTGAATAACTGTACTTTGTTCAGCACACAAAATATAGAGATTTTCTGGGATGGTGAGGAGTCATATACATGCCTGTAGAGACGATAATAAACCTGAGGAATATTAGAAGACTGGTTAATGTTGGTTGATAAACAATACTGTGGGTGATGGACAGAAGAAAATTTCTCGCAAAAGAACAAATTAGCCTACATCAGCCACCTGGATCAGCATCAGCCACCCTTCTTCCTATGGGTGAAAACAATATTCCTGGCCAAAAGGGAGCAACTCTCAGAGTTGTAGTCTCACTGTTGTATAATACTTACTAATTTATTGAATCAACTGGCAAGTAATAAGTAGGTGTCAATGAGAAGTGGACAACAGGGCTGCTTTTTGCGAAAATATGGTCAAAAATACTCTATTGGGAATTAAATTTAAAAAATTAAAGTTAATTGTCTTCTTCCAAATGTCATGAAAAAAATAAATAAAGGCCTGGTTCTAACTCTTTAATATCCAGTTTCAAATAAAGACCTAGATCTTTCTTTAGCTGATTTATTTACATAGAGTGTGGAAACATTACATTAGGATTTTCTTGAATCAATCTATCTGCATAAGGTAAGGAAGAAATAGTTATAATATAAAGGTAAGATGTAATGCAAATTCTTATTCTGTTTGGCGTTCACTAATGTGCGTAGCAATTGATCTCATTGATGTCTCATTAAAACCTGTTCACCAAGGGTGGGATCTGTCCATAAAATAATAAAAATCTCAGAAATCTGCATGAGAGCTGTGTAAACTGACATGAGAGTTGTGCAAGCTGGTTGCACCAGCTCACCTTATACTGAAAAAAGATGTCAACATGTCTTTTTATATATAGTCTTTATTTCTTACTTGTTACTTCATCAGTACATGGACAGAGACAGCTTACTTTGTATATGTATTTATATATAATATATTTAAACTTTACATTACACATCTGAATGACAACAAAGCAGGTAAGAGTCCTTCTGCTGTTCTGATTGAAAACAAGCTCATAGGGAAGACTCCCACAATATGAAGCAATCAAAGAAGAAAAAAAGAACTTATTGCTCAATACAAATCAATCATAATGGCAGTAAGAAGAAGAATAGTGGTAGTACACACTAACCAATGTCATTATACCAAGATGAGGTTACACTCTATTGTTTTCTATAAAAAAGAGAAACTCCAAGGGAAGAGGAACAGAAATATGTTGTAAGTTTTCTTCACAATACATTAGTGTTAAGAGTATTCAGACTGGGTAACCTGCTCTATAAATAAAAAGTATCTACAAATGCAAGGAGGACCAAGGTCTATACAAACTGATCCAGGGCCACCTTACTGTGGGCTTTCACAAATCGCTACTGAACTTCACTATTTATAGAACTAGAGGAGGAGCAGGAAGGAGCTGGGTTTTCATGTACATGGTTAAATGTCAAAGATGTGGAGCAGGGATAGAAGTGAAAACCATAGTGAAGGGTTCTGAGAGGCGTAAGTTATGGAGGTTAGGACAATACTGTACAGCACTTCAAAAAGGGTCAAAATACATTCAGGAGCCCCCCAGGCGTTTTGTTTAAAAGTCATGTAGGAGGAAACAAACAAGGCAGAAAATAGCTTAATGAAGAGAGAAAACACTGACAGATGATCGTATACGAACTCCACTACATGCGAACTTCAGTGTTCATAAAATGTACCCACGAGGTCCTGCGAGGAATGACTGAGTCGTTTGATCTGACTGTCAAATATCTTCTCATAATCTTTCCTTCCCACGTTAGCATTTTTTTCAAACAATTCAACAATAATCTCTCCAGCTTTAACAAAATCACATTCTTTTTCCTTTGACATTCATTCACTATTTTTCAAGTCAGAATCTCTCTCTATGTGTTGGTAACAATCCCTTCTATTCTCTATCAAACTGCTAATACTCTCCTGGGCCCCTTGATGCTCAGAAACACGACTAACACTACCAACATTTTAAAAAGTGACTTCAGCTGATAGCCCTTTAGGGTGCGACTGGGTTTGCCTGTGAGAGCCGGGGCACCTTGTGATTTTTTTAGGGGAAAGGGGTTGTTTTTTAAGGTGGCTGGGGGTTGCCCTACATTCTGAGCTTGGCGCCCAAATGGCTCCAAAAAAGCCCCGCCCCTTACAGGCCGCCTCGAGAAAGCGCACACCTCAGCGATTGGAAGCTACGCCCCTTCTGACAGGGGACCAAAGGGTTTTTTGTAAAACTGGAAACAGGAGAAGGTGACTATGGTACATGAATACTATACATTACTAAGCCAAAAGCCAAGGGACCCCGTCTCTGATCACTACTGACAGGGTGGTCCAGTATTACAGATAACAGCACACAGCTTCACTAGTCTAAAACTATACATTTATATACACATCTATACTGGTGAGATTACGGTTACACATCAAATCAAACACACAATGACCACATAGCAATGAATTCCTTCTTGTGTGAGATTTTGTGCATTTATGTCTTCTTATTTTTAGTTCCCTTACAAAGCACAGCCCACGCAGCTTTAATTTTAGAGGGTATGTGGAAAACGTGTGTGTGATTGAGAATATGTTTGTATGTGTGTGATTTTGGATACTTGTGTGAGTGTGTATGTGTGTTTGTGTGGGTGTGGGTGGGGGCAGCTTTGGTATATCCACGAAGAGGGACTGGGCACTGTAAGGGAAGGCTGCTGCAAGTTCTTTAGTGGTGACCCAGAAAGAGAGCTTCTCGGGTTAGCCTGGTTCTGCCTCAGTCCCCCTGGTCTGGTTTGGTTTGGGTCAGAGTGTGATTGTCATGTTAGAGACCACGAAGAGCCGACTACGGCCAGAACCACAGCCATGTACTGGAGTTACAGACTGATGATGGTGGTTGCATCCATGGCTCTATTTAACTAGCCACATGTAAGGTGCTAATGAAGAATGCCCTAATGCTATACTACTCAGATACTAGAATGCCCTAAGATTACTCTTACATTCACATGCATATACATGTTAATAAATATTTATCTAGCCTACATTATGTAGTGGATTGTCTTAGAAATGTGAGATGACACACAGCTTAAACTGCTCCAAATGGCAGTAATAAAGGGAACTTTTAACTTATATAATCAATAATGTGACACTTGTAAACCACTTGTGTTCAACAGCCTGCCCTCTCTGTGATGCTGGATACAGCCTTACACCTAAGAGGATAGAGCTTTCTCTCGAAAGACCACTTTTTAAGTGCTATTTATTTGAGAGTTCTGATTTTGTTTTTGATTAGTGACATAACAAGTGATTAAATGGAAATAATCCACAGTGTCCTAGTTAGTGTGAATTTAAGCTCAGATACAATAATATTCCTCTATTAGGCTTAACTTTATTCCTCAGTTTACATGCTACATATAAACATTATACATGAAACTATTCAATTCATAATGGTGCATTTAGTGCAATAATTTTTTTCAAGCAGTTAAATACTTCATTTTGTAAGTTATTGTTAGAACAGAAAGTGATTATAGGTGAGTGATTAAAGTTGGGAAATACAAGTTCAATTCCACATCTGAGTTGTCTGCATGCTGATCAAGTACTTTATAGTAACTTTGCTGCTACATTAGCTCCGTGGGATTATTACATGTATATCTCATTTGATACTAAACAATAGGTGGACTCCAGTGTCTCACAAATCGCAGATTGTCATCTTGCTCAAAATCAAGATTATTCAAACACAAGTTTGGTTATACTTTGGCCATATCATTTACAGAGTATCATGGTAAAAGCAATACAAAAAGTGAAGCTACACATTTGTGTCAGCTAAGCTACCTGGTGGTGTAGTGGCTAGGTTTTAGTGTGCTTACAATTGGCAGCCTGGGTTTAATTTCCTGTAAAGAGGTGATACGAGTTTACAGACTCCAGCCTTAGATCGTGTCCTTAGATAAAGATCTGTGACTACCCTGAACACACAGACTCAAACTATTATTACAGAGATGGATTTCCATGAAGCTGAAACACACAGCTGATGATACCACTATTTCGTATTTTAAGTGTCGTTTACAAGTTTGACACACAAATATTACGAAGTGCAGCGTGGTGTACTTTAGCTATGCTTTTAGACTAAAAAAGCTAACAAATCCTCTCTAAACACTACTGGTGCACTTGACCACAATAGGCTATGTTCTGCTGTCTGTCGAATTCTGGACACACCCCATCTGATTCTCACCTGTCACTGGTGAAGATAAATAACCCTTACAAACAACAGAGAGAGATGCTCACATTTTGTCCATACAAAAGAAAAAGAATAAACTGCTTGCAAAATACTAATAAACAACACTTTTCCATTGTATTACCCCCTAAAAGTTCTGTTTTCCTTGTTTTTTCCGCGTTCTCCTTCTCGGACAGGTTTTTATATCAGATTATTAACAGCAGCTCAGTATCACATATTGCTGTGTGGATTGTTGACTGACAGGGTTACTTTCTTTTTTTGTGGGGGGAGGGTGGGGGGTAGTTTAAAAAAGAAGCAGGCAAAGAATGAGGAGACACTTAGCAAACACAAGAATGACACTTCAATAACAAAAACAGTTGCCTAAATCTTTAAGTGCTGAGTGACAGGTGTGGTTGGGGGTTTTAGTAGCGGTACATATGGTATTTTACAGTGGAGGATGGAAGAAGATGGCAGACAATATATCTGGGGGAGATAGACGAAGACAGAGAGAGCCTCCTGTTCATGAACTTAACTTCCTTTTGCTGTCTCGTTCTACCCGAGAGGTAGTCAAACCTTCACTCTGTTACTTTTAAAAAAAACTTTTCCTCAGACCATTCCCCCATTCTCCACTTTGCTGTTATTCCTTCTTGACTCTCTCTTTCAATCTCTCTCTCCCCCCTCCCTCCCTCTTTCTGTGGCTGGCTGACTCCTTAGCAGGACACCTCCATGGTGTGGGTGACCGTGCCGACTCCCTCGGTGCTGTCGGAATGGGTGCAAGCCCTAGAGCGGGACCCATCAATGGAGCTGGCGCTGGTCAGAGAGGCCGTCCTTGAGCGAGCCAGGCGGGTCATACTGGCAGAGGGCACTGGGAGGAAGGGTAAGGGAGGGAAGGGGCGGGGGAAAGATCGTGGGGGGAGG